AGCAGCAGCTAATTAGTAGCAGTCTGTCTGTCTGTGAATCTCCCTGACATGACTCATAACAGACACCTGTATCACAAACTGGGGTTTCAAGGATGCATAGCAGGCAGGGAGGGTCTAATAAAAGATGTTATCAAACTGCACTATGGGAAGTACAGAACTCAGTGTTGTTGAATCTCGATTCATAGTAGAGATGGAACATCAGGATATTTTGGCCTCTGCTGTTTCAATTCTGATGTTCTTTGTTTAAGATTTGCTTCTTGTGCAACTTTCAAATCATGGCTCCTTCAATAAAAGGTGTAAAGGCGACTGACAGCTAAATACAACCAGGTAACGGTCAGTGAAATTCATATGTGCTTGACAAAAGCACGGACATCATTATAAAAATTCAACATTAAATATTAAAATCAGCCAAAGGAACAAGACATTAAAGCTTTTAAATCCTCCCTAATCCATTCAATTTATAAGGTGATAAGGACCAGAGTAGTTTTGATATAATACACAGTGATGAGTATGGTTGGTATTTCCTCCTTATTACAAACCTAAGGTCTATGCTACAGCCCTACTCTGATGTTCAAGAGGTCAAAAATTTAAATGAATATCAGGCAAAAAACAAAACAATTTTGTTTTCAATTCATGCACATTGTAAACACAACCTAATAGACAATGCTATATATATATATTTTTTTTTTAGAAATGATGATGTGGTAGCAAAAATCAAGAAAGCTTGGGAGATAGGAGTGTTGGCTGAAGGCGGGAAAGACAGGCAACGAAAGAACAAAGGAGGAGGACAGCTTGTGGGCACAGAAAGAAAGAAATAAAAAGTCGAATGAAGCAGCAGAGAGACACGCCAGGATGTAAAAGAGCAAGAACATTTTGTATTTATGGAAAGAACTGTGCACATTAGTCTCTAATACAGAGTCCCATTCTGAGCTGAAATTGCAGAATATTAGCTTTGATTATGCACCATTTCACAAGCAACTCATCATCTCATGAGGGGGTGCACTCGTGACAGGAACTGATTGGCTTTATTGACCCAGAAAGCGAGATTAAATAATTAGAAAAAAGCTTTTACAATCCAAGATTACTCGTGTCTGCATGTCACCCACTCATAATAAAACCAAAGATGACACATTAAGCTGGAGGGAAGGGAAAAAAATGCAAACCAACCAGAGAACACTCGCCCACCACCAATTTTCGGGTGTCATGCTTGCAGTTCTTTGATGTCTCAAGTTGGCAAATAAACATTCTGTCTGTTCACTCTTTTAAATGATTTCTGACTGCAGCATGAAGAAAGGGGGGTGAGAGTCTACCACAGTGTGTGGGACGCTGCTGCTGCATTTGTGTCTCCAACTGAGATTTTTTTCAAAAAAAATCATTTTGACCTGACATTAAAAGGGGTATTGAACAATGAGCCCAACTCCACTGTACAGTATGCTCCAAAAAATTACAAATTCTGAGAGTGGAAAATGCTACATAATTTCCTTTCGACAGTGTCAGCTTGCCTGAGCATGTAATTACACCTGCAGGCACCTGATTTTCCTGTTCTTACCATGGCAGGGTATCACAGACCAAAAAATTCATTAACTTTAACTTTTTTGAAAAAAAAAGAAAAACATTTTGGTCTTTAAGGTCAGAAAACACCTACTCAGTCAAACTTACTATCCACTAGGTTCAAACTGTGACAGGATTGTCATATAGCATCAGAATGTAGAGCTACTGTACCAGCTGCCATTAGTACAGTCGGACACATTTAGAGCAAGTTTGAGAGTGACAGAAAAAGTCTTACAAAGTCTCTGAAAACCCATTTCATTAGAGTTATGTCAAACCTGTAATATACAGAAAAATTTGTCCTCAGCCAGTATAAGTTGTAAAAAGCTGATATGTTTAGCATATAGCCAGTAATCTTGTGATGGGTGGGCCTTCGGTGACAGAATAACTTCCATCTACACAGACTCAGTCCTGTCCTATTAAATCACATTTAAACTCTACTAAGACAGCTAGATGTATTAGTCATTTATACCTGTTAACGCTGGATCAGAGTTGACCACACACACTGTAAAATGTTCCATGTAACCAAATATGCTCAAATGGTTTTAATCCATCACTGACAAACTGGCTCAGAAACTAGGGAGAGACGTTGACCCGGTTCCTGCTGTTGAATGTAAATGTTCTCCTTGATCTTTGTCCGGCCATCCACTGACTCCTAGCTGTGGACCTTTAACCTCTTCCCACTCAGCGCTGTAGCATCTTTTGGTCTGGTGTTCACACATCTAACTGTTGTTGAGGAGACAAGAGCCAACATTTTTTTGCTCTACAGATTCCCCACCTAAGATGGTTCCTTAATAAAGTCTGAATTGAGCTCAATGTCTCATCTGTGGCTCTCGGCTCCAAGCACATCAGCTCTTCCTAAAACACCTCACAAACATTTTGTTACATTTTTTATTTTTTAAAAAGGCTCGATAATTTGCTCAAACTGGTAGATTCTATCAAATGTTACTGAAACAGGAGGAAACTGTGTCATAGTTGGGGACTATTTGCAGATTTGGTGCTGTAATGAGTATTGGTGCCAGCAACGTGGTGTTTGTATGTGGGATTGAGTCAATATAAACTAGTGTTCATAGCGATGAAGGAACATGTCAGCCAGTGCAATGATGGCTCTCACGGATGTAGAATATCACCAGAAGTATCCTTAGAAGTGCAGTTTTGTTACAGTAAGCACACGTTTTCCCTAATGTTTTCCCGCCATCGCTGCCATACTGAATGTAATTTAGAGAGTTGCAGAATTGTCATCGATCACCATTCCACACACACCCCAGAGGAAAACACTCTCTGACCATCTCTGCCATTATTCTCTACAGTTACTAAGAAGTTGTGTCTGAAGAAAAGAGTAAGAGCGCAGTACACAGCTTGCCGTTTACATTAGAATTACAAATGATTCCTTTATCCGGGCTCGTGAGGACTATATGACGATGTGAAAGCCACCGTTCAGCCTGTTCATCCAGGATGTGCCAGGGCACCTCTCTGTCTGACCAGCAACAAGGACACAGCAGTAGTTAATCAAATTAGCCATGCGTTCACTGCAGCGTATGCAAAGTCTCCTTATCCGCGGCCATCTGAAGAGTCATAAAACCCAGTCAGGGGAGAGGGCAGGATGGAGGTAACCACACTGGGGATTGCAAAGTGTCTTAAGTGGTAGAAAAATCCCAAGGCCCATTAATTTTCAAATTAAGCACTGCCTGCCAGCAACCATTTTGTCCTTGGTCATAAAGGGATTGACGTGGAGGTTACTGCTGCTGGTCTTTATGTGTCCATCCCTTGGGGCTAGTCTCTGTCTACTCCCTCAGGCTGCTTTTGTCTATGTGTGCCCTGGTGCTCCAGCCAATTAGCATGCCATGTTAGTAAGCATGCAGCATGGAGGGCTGAATATGCCCAAACCTGCCTCTCCGATTTCTGTAATTGCACTGTGACCACAGTGCTCATCTAGCTTCATGCATGCTTGTGCAAAAGGTCATGAGCATTAGTGTGTGTGTGTGTTTGCATGCCGGTGTTCGTCCTGTTTTTGCTTAGGCTGTACAGCACATTTAATTACGTCAACTGGTGAAGTCACTGCTGCTGCTCTCCGGGGAGTACAGTTTCCGGAGAAGTACTCTGACCTTCCGTTCAGTAAAAGCAGAGTTAGCTGGAGCACTGAGTGCTAACTGGCTGGCAGCAGCATGCTTATGATTCATCCTGGATGCAGAGAGGTGAGCAAATGGCACTGATTGTCTCTTAGCGGTTCATTAAGCAGCAATAAGGTCGATCATTAGCCCCTAGCCATATGATATTCATGGCTGGTGATACCACTTAGCCCGGCATCTGCTTCTACTGCTCATGTCAGAGTCACTATTTAAACAAGCCAAATCAATATGTCAAAGATAATCACATAGCACTGGAATCATCATCTGACAGCCGGCAAAGAAATGATGCTGTGTGGGCCTTGTGCACAAAGAGGCCTATCCAAAAGTTACTGTAGGTAAATGCTGGGCTTACTTTACACACAGTGAAGCTTAAACACTTCGTGGTCTCCCAAGCTTTTAGAAAATGTCAGTTCGAGGTCGGACCACATGTCATCATTAAATCACTAGAAGAAGAGCTCAACAGAAAAAAAGAAAGACAGAGGAATGATGAGAGTAGACCGCCTATGTACAGTACATGTATAGGTCAACCAGACTGAACGTCTCCACCGTGGAAATCACTAACCCCATGGATCCAAGGCCACAACCATACAGAGTTGTATAATTAAGTGCAAGTATTCACAGCAAGTAGCTTGTCAAAAAGTGGACCAAGTCTGGAGGCTACAGCTGTTATTTTACTGAGTACATCAACTTTTCATATCCTGTGCTGCTCAGTTCATTTTTGAGTCTTATATGAATTATGTTCAGACATTGACTGCACAGCTATAGAGCTTCTTCCTTCACAGCCAACTACAAATATGGATCTCAGTTAAAACTTTGTTGTTTCTTATTTTTGTTGCAAATGTTCAAAGTGAAAGACAAATGGATTCACTTTGATTCAAAATTTGACTTGATAAAATAATATCAAACCCCAACTCCGGTCCTGGAAATGTCACAGCACAAAAGATAAGTATACATTTTAAAAACTATCATACTCTTGTACTATATTATTAAATTTGGTGAAGGCCACATGCCTGAAAACAAAAGGTCTAAGAGCTGGACTTTAACAAAACAAAGCTGTGAAAATCTGCAGTGAAATAAAACTCCTACATCATGAGAGTGACCCAAATCAGTGACTTCTTGTGTATCTACCTAGAAATGTCTGGAAACACAGGGAGCCTGTGGAAGCTAAGGTTAGGAAAGTTTGGCTAATTATTGTTGTGTAACTGACATCATTAAATGGCTCTTATGTTCTTGTCGTCTACTTGTGCTATTGTTATGTTAGGATGTCACAAACATTTTGAGGGTTTTGTCATGAAAGCAAAATAAGAAGTAAACACACTGTACCTCATCAGGACAGAATTTTCTGGCTTGACCTCTCAAACAAACAACTTTGTACTGTTGCTTGACAAATGGCAAGCTTAAATATGCCTATCTGCCCCCTAGTGGACTGGAGTGAAACAACATATTGGCAGGAAACAAAAACAAGAATCCACCGAAAAATTCTTTTTTCTAAACATGCTTCTTTTAATAACTTACTGATATAGTGTGTCCCAACGCTCCCAGCAGCAGAATCATGTCATTAGTCATCACTCTGCTGTCCTCAGTTTATTTTATTAAACAGAAATATGATTTTCATTTTTTTACTTCCTTCTGCTCTGCTTTGAGTGTTTTTGGATTATTGTGCAACAAAGGCAACACTTCCTGCAGATGTTGTATCCTGATGTACTGATGCCTCAACTAAAGTACAGAGGAGCTGCTAAAAATTGTAAACACAACTGCCCATCACAAAATAAATAAAAGTGACACCGTGTACAGTAGAGAGAGTGAAGCTGCATCTGCCCACACCCCTGCACAATGTACGACGGCTGCAGCGTTCGCTGCTGTCGATCCTGGGCTAGCATAATGTGTGAAAACCTGGTTTCCTCATGAGCCCATAGCAGAAACACGAGCCACTGCTGGCATATGGAAGGAGATAAAAACAGACACTGTAGAGAAAACCCAGACAGGCGCTGATTCTACCAACAGGCTTCTACAGTATCTGAAAGATGACATATTAACATGATGCTTCTTTTCAGTGTTTCATTCTAAACATTTGCATATGTCCCCTTGATATCAGCCTTTCAGCCGTGACAAAAGGGGTGTGGTTGTGGCAGTATAACACAAAACAAACAAATGAATTCTGAAATCCATTTTCTAATGCAAGGCTCCTTCACCTTATTGACTCTGAAACTGAATCCTGAACTGTGATGGGAGGAAATGTGCTTTTGAAGCACAGGGGAAAAAAGAGAAGTGAGACAGAGACGCGGAGAGAGAAAACACACTCCATTAAATCAATTAAGTCTGCATGTTGCAGGAGCCTGGGCAGGAGGATAATTACTTAGGGAGAGTGATCAGAGACTAATCTAATGATGATGCCCTTTGCTACCCACTACCAGACTTGATGAAGCAGCACTCCTGAGGGACTCAGCCCTGGCTTTGAAACCGAGGAAACATACACATGCAAATGGAGGACATGCAAGTGTGTGTGTATGTGTTTCACTACAAAGGAAGGTACAGCAGTGGGAAACAGAAAACTGCATGGAAAACAAATATCAAGAAGTGACACCAATCTTCTCTGACTGTTGGTTTTAAGTTAAAAAAAAACAAACAGCAGAGGACACTAGACTGAACAAATGGGGTTCACACACAGAAAAGAAGTTTTTGTACAGTTGGTACTTCAGATACATTTAATATTTGATAGACTAAAAGTGCATGCAGTGTTAGTGTTACCTTCTAATATTTGAGAGCTTAAAGAGGCTTTCCAAATTCTACATACTGCATCCTCATAAAGGTATTAAAAAAATCTAAAGAAATACAAAAAAAGCAAATGAGTGTTATGTCTTTGTTTTTTTTTTTGTTTTTTTTTACTGATTTGAAGATTTTGTGGGAGACGGTTCCAGAGTGAAGTAGCACCAACAGCAACATCTCCATCTCGATAGTTTTCAGCCTTGACAAGGGGAGAAGAGAGGCACCTCCCAGAGAACTGAAAGGTTCTGCAGGTCAAACATTTTGTGATTTCGAACACAGTCATGTGAAATCATGTCTGACATTCTTTAATTTAAAAAAAGTGCATATTTGTCAAAAAGGGGATTCAGCATGATCACATGGTGTTCAACGCGTTCTGTAAATGCCAGGCAGGGAAGCAACTTAGCTGCTCTCTGAAGCGACCCAGCATTTTCTAAGTGTGTGACACTTAGATTGATATCACATCCACCTCAGTCCATTTGCTTCCTTTCCTGTGCATGTCTCTTAACTGCCTTGTTGTGTATCCTCTTCCTGCTAATATTCATTCTCTCCTCTCTCTTTTGTTAGTCTTTCTCTGTCTTTTTCAGGCATAATAAAAAAGGCAAGGATTACCCCTCCAGTGGATTTCCACTTGACAGAGAATGGGTTGCTTTTGAACTTTCACTGACAGAAGTCACTTCCCACTCCCAAGCTGTTCATGAGGCATAAGTGGCTCAGACGTACTGGGTGAGCTACAAAGAGGGTGATGTCAGAGGCTGGAGATAAACAGAGGAGGGCCTTAGCTTTGGAGGTCTTTAAACTGCATCAAGTGCAAACTGTTGTCAGACGTACAAACAGACATCAGAGTAGTCACTGTACAGTAGACGACAACACTGAGTACACCCCCATACTATATCACCAAAACCATACCACCTCACAGTCACTGTGTGTAAGATGAAGTGTAGGTATTGGATCTTATTTTTAATTAAAACCAAACTGGTTAGATGGACTATAGTCAACATACAAGTTCAACCTGATCAGTGCAAAAAAAACCTGACAAGACCTGTGATTTCCGATTAAGGCTAATGAACAAGGTTAAACTCGAACGTGGGAACACCACAGCTTTCTCAGCTTTGGCCTGTATTGTGTCTAAGGTCACATGGCTCTACATGGCAGGGGTTGCCTGGACCAGTCAGAAACCACAGGTAAAGCTGGGAGAGAGCACAAGAGCATCAGCAGGTGAACATCAGCTGAAACACAGCCGCAGCAGCAGAGCCATGCTACCAATAACACGAGGCACAGTGGACAACATGCACAGCTCACTATTTACACAACCTTGCATTGAACCACAGATGGGTACATGCTTCCGACTTGGCATAAGGATTATCTGTAAAAGCTGGCGTTTCAGTGACTGATCAGAGTGTGACTGATACTGCATTAGTTCAGCCTCTGCAGACAGTGTCCAAGGAGAAAACCACGACTCACACAGTGGCACAAAACTGCCAAAGAAGATGAAAGTCAACGCAGCTCAGATTTTATTTATAGCTTGATATCACAAATCACAGATTTGCCTTAAGGTGCTTTACAATCTGTACCTCACACAAAAAATCTAAAGAAATACAAAAAAAGCAAATGAGTGTTATGTCTTTGTTTTTTTTTTTGTTTTTTTTTACTGATTTGAAGATTTTGTGGGAGACGGTTCCAGAGTGAAGTAGCACCAACAGCAACATCTCCATCTCGATAGTTTTCAGCCTTGACAAGGGGAGAAGAGAGGCACCTCCCAGAGAACTGAAAGGTTCTGCATGTCAAACATTTTGTGATTTCGAACACAGTCATGTGAAATCATGTCTGACATTCTTTAATTTAAAAAAAGTGCATATTTGTCAAAAAGGGGATTCAGCATGATCACATGGTGTTCAACGCGTTCTGTAAATGCCAGGCAGGGAAGCAACTTAGCTGCTCTCTGAAGCGACCCAGCATTTTCTAAGTGTGTGACACTTAGATTGATATCACATCCACCTCAGTCCATTTGCTTCCTTTCCTGTGCATGTCTCTTAACTGCCTTGTTGTGTATCCTCTTCCTGCTAATATTCATTCTCTCCTCTCTCTTTTGTTAGTCTTTCTCTGTCTTTTTCAGGCATAATAAAAAAGGCAAGGATTACCCCTCCAGTGGATTTCCACTTGACAGAGAATGGGTTGCTTTTGAACTTTCACTGACAGAAGTCACTTCCCACTCCCAAGCTGTTCATGAGGCATAAGTGGCTCAGATGTACTGGGTGAGCTACAAAGAGGGTGATGTCAGAGGCTGGAGATAAACAGAGGAGGGCCTTAGCTTTGGAGGTCTTTAAACTGCATCAAGTGCAAACTGTTGTCAGACGTACAAACAGACATCAGAGTAGTCACTGTACAGTAGACGACAACACTGAGTACACCCCCATACTATATCACCAAAACCATACCACCTCACAGTCACTGTGTGTAAGATGAAGTGTAGGTATTGGATCTTATTTTTAATTAAAACCAAACTGGTTAGATGGACTATAGTCAACATACAAGTTCAACCTGATCAGTGCAAAAAAAACCTGACAAGACCTGTGATTTCCGATTAAGGCTAATGAACAAGGTTAAACTCGAACGTGGGAACACCACAGCTTTCTCAGCTTTGGCCTGTATTGTGTCTAAGGTCACATGGCTCTACATGGCAGGGGTTGCCTGGACCAGTCAGAAACCACAGGTAAAGCTGGGAGAGAGCACAAGAGCATCAGCAGGTGAACATCAGCTGAAACACAGCCGCAGCAGCAGAGCCATGCTACCAATAACACGAGGCACAGTGGACAACATGCACAGCTCACTATTTACACAACCTTGCATTGAACCACAGATGGGTACATGCTTCCGACTTGGCATAAGGATTATCTGTAAAAGCTGGCGTTTCAGTGACTGATCAGAGTGTGACTGATACTGCATTAGTTCAGCCTCTGCAGACAGTGTCCAAGGAGAAAACCACGACTCACACAGTGGCACAAAACTGCCAAAGAAGATGAAAGTCAACGCAGCTCAGATTTTATTTATAGCTTGATATCACAAATCACAGATTTGCCTTAAGGTGCTTTACAATCTGTACCTCACACATCGCCCTCCGGCCCTTCAGCTGAATAAGTAAAAACTCCCCAAAGGAAACCTTTAACAAGAAACAAAGTGGAACAAACCTCAGGAAGAGAAACAGACAACACGCAATAGATGTCGAGAGAGAGAGAGAGAGAGAGGAGGGAATGACTTGAACTCCTGGAGGACAAGCAAAAAGAGGCACAGACAGCCAGGGGAGGAAGAGAGGTTGCAGGACAGGTCCAGCATAAAGAGCAGGCATGAGAAGAGTGGACAGGGAGGAGAGAGAAACTGGGGGACAGAGAGAAAGTCTGAACACTCATGTGCTCAAGGGACAACAAAAAAGAGGGTCAAAGAGATGCAGTGGTTTTCAAAAAGTTTAAAGTAATCTCATCAGCAGGACACCCGCCAGAATTAGAATAGTAATCACAAAATTCACCACTCACTGAAAGTCAAGGTGTAAAGATGAGTTTTAAATTTGAAAGTAAAGGCTTCTATAGAGTCTGACTGGGGG